CCCCGGGTCGTATTTCCTTGCCTGGGGGCGCGGGAGTGGAAGGGAGCGGGCAGCAGCCTGACAAAGGTGGGCTGCGGAAGGAGCCTCGCGTTGTTCTCCAGCCGCGCTTGGAAGACGGAGTGCGATCGCGTGTATCTCTGGGCATCTCTGGGGGCTCAGCCTGCAGGTTTAGTCGTTGAGCTGAGGAAGCTGCACTGCCTCAGCGGGGAGTAACTTAAGGAGAGGTAAGCACTGCAGTTAGGAAGGAGTTATAGTGCGGGATAAACATGTTGCTTGTTGATGCTGCGTGCACAATTGCCTGATGTGCCTCATGTAACTGTGATGCGGCAACCAAAGCAACAGTCTGATTTTAAGTGGCAGCTACTTAGTTGTTTGCTCTGGGGCTTTGGTGCAGCTAATCAGTACCTTGGATCTGAAGATCTGGGCAGCAACTTGCAGGAGAAGCTGCTGCTTCTGGCAGATGTTATTCGGTGTGGTTTTGAGTCAAGCACATCAATTACTTGGCAATTTTACCTTAAGGAGAAGCCCTGGGCTGCGGTGTCGCTCCTAGTAATCCATCGTAAGCATAAGGGAAATGTAAGGGAATCTGCTGAAGTTTTTGGGTCTTGTATGTGTAACCCTTTAATGCCTTTTCTGAAAAGATTGAGTCAAAACCTTCATGACATTCTGAAGAGATAGCTTCAGAGTAGCTCAGCTTCCTAGGTTGCCTATCCTGAAGACCAGACTTTTGCCAATCAGCTAGCTTATTACTCTGAAAACACCTAAACCAGCTGATTTGTAGAAGAAGCAAGGAAGAGCACACAGTAAATATGCACTTTAGTAATGTGGGTTGTGTGCCTGAGTGTTGCCGGTCAGTGTTTATGCAGCTGGAGATGGGGATGCTGTTTAAGGTGGATTGAGTGCCTTTTGTGCATAGTGCAGCTGCCTGAGTGAAGGTGCCCAATGGAAAGTATGGAAATAGCTGCCGAATGTTTCTCTTTTTTTTCTTCTTACAACCTTCTCTTTCACTGTGGCTGATTCATTCAGTCATGAGGTCTTAGCAGACCCCGGTATGAAGTTTGGCTGGTTTTTGCATTTTCAGTTCATCCTGTCTAGAAAATCTGTTTCCTCTGGAAAGGTTTCCTTCTGTGTGTGATGCTATTATCAGTGTTATAACTGGATGAATAAAGTAACACACTGTAAAAAAACCCAAAACAACAAACAAGCGACAAGGCAGTGTGTGTAAGATGGAGCACTGTGATGGTTTTGGCGTGACAAGGCCCAGTGCTGAACAGCTTACCTGAGAGGGATTCAGTGTCCAGAGTCCACCTGCTTGCTGCGGCCACCATACACTATAGCAGCCATGAGGGTTGCATGCCTACCTACACCCTCTTAGTGCTTGTGGGTGTGATTGTGTGTTGTGAGTGACCACCAGAGGCAGTTGTGTGTTAGAGGTTTGTTGTGTCCTCCAGGGGCTGGAAGAGTCAACATCATTGGAAATAGAGGTGAAGACTAGGAAAAGGGGGAAGTAATGGCTAAAATGTGTGCATTGTAGGAATATCTTGGTTCTGTTCCTCAGGATTTCAAAAAGCAAAATCCTTCCCCAAGGATGTGGCAGGTATCACACCTACAGGCTCCTTCCATAAAGTGGGTCCTGTAGCCCATGGGACCTCCCAAAAATGCACTTGAACAGCATGAGTTAGGAGCAGGCAGCTTTTCAGGGGTGATCTAGCAAAGCCTTCAGCCTTGCTGAAAAAGATGGGCAAAACTCAGCACGGAGTTGGAAGCACTGTAGGCATGATGCCAGCTAGTTGTGAATGCTGGGTCAAAGCTAATCGCTAAGAGATTTACCCTGTCAGCTGCCTGTCAGGGTGAACTCTAGAGCTTTACGTTGCTTAGCTTGTAGGTGCTGGGTTGTTGGCTCAAGTGCTGTTGGAAGCGCGTGCTGCCAACCTGCTGTTTCCCTGTGGTCTCTCAGTGGGGTGATTTTGCAGCTGCTCAGGCATCAGCAGTTCTGCTCTACCCCATGGGTGATCAGCGTAGGATTGCAGCAGCAGGAGGAACAGAGTCTGGGTAGGGTCCCCAGGTCTGGGTTTGGTGTTACTGGAGGCCTATTGTGGGGACAGGCAACTGTGTGAATGCACTGATGTTCTCTGCAAGCCTGTTCCCTGAAGTGGATCTTCTGTGGAGCTCAGCAGGCCCTGCTCCAAGCAGAGCCATCTCCTTTCTGTTGGCAAACTGAGAGGATTGGTTGAGGAGGGCAGCAACAAGTTCGCAGGTTTTCTGAAGGCTTTTCTGTTTGCGAAGCTGATAGTGACTTCTTCAGGCTGTTCAGGTTTCCTACTGCTTTTAGTAGCAGCTTTTAAATGATCGCAGACTTCTTCATAACCAGTCCCGGTTAGCTTTCAGATAATCTCAGTCAGTCAGTTCTTCAGAGATGAAGGATCCTGCATACTTACATGGGAATTTCTCAGAAAGTGGTGATAATTGCTCTTGAGGGACTCTTCTATTGATGCTTCAGTCTTTTCCCCATCTGTAGCAAGACATTACAAGTTCTTTGAAGTTTTGTGTGTTTTTCTTGTCCTCATCCTTGTTGCCATGGAGAAGGCTCATCAGCTGCCCTGTAATAAGAAGTATCTGCATTACAAATTGCTGTGTTACTGCATCATGTGCCACTGCATTTGTGTACCTCTCCCTTTCCATTCCCACCTATCCAGTGAGCTGCTGTGCACCTGTCTTATCAGCAAGGTACCAAAACAACTGCAAGGTTAGTTGAGCTTTCCTAAATGCAGAGAAGGACCTACCCACAGTGCTGCAGTTCCAAAGGAGTCCTGGTGTTTCCCCTCAGTTCTTGAGCAACTGCAGGATTTTTATTGTATCACTTGCAAGGGAGGAAGGTCCTGGCTGTTTTCTAGCTTGTCTCTGCTCTGTTGGGACAGGCGTCCTGCAGAGCAGCAGGCGCTTTGCCTTTTGCAGGAGTGAAGCTTGTGCTGCTTTGTGCTTTGATTTAGGGGAAGCACACGCAAGGACTTTCTGGGTGATTATGTCTTTGGGTACAAGTAGGCTGGTTAATTGACATCAGACCTAAGATGTTTAGTGGTTTGAAGAAGCCCTTTTCTTTCTGGCAAGGCTTTAACTTGGGAGGAAAAAAAAGTTTCTCGTGCTGCTCATGTATTCTGGAAAGACAGTGTTCCCTCCTTGGGCAGGACTTTCTCGATAGTAGGCTTTTTATGCCTATGGTAGTTACACAAGAAGATCAACTATTACTTTCCTGTAGTCAAGGTTAGTGTTCTGCTGTCTGCTTTGCTACATGTTATCAGAGGCACTTTGGTGCAAGTGTGTTCTTGGTTTTGCTACAGTCATAGGCAAGCTGGAGAAAAAGCAGAAATTCTGCAGGGAAACACTAATATTCTTTCTATAAAACCCAGCTGCTATGTCTCTGATACACTGGCACATGAATGATCGTAGAAGAACTTAAAGGTTTACTTGCTGTAGTTTTCAGGTTCCCAAGCTTTAGTCTCTGTTGCTGTGCCATGTGTGTAGTCCTGCTGGAGGCAATGTGCAGATTCAGTTCTACAGCGAAGGCAGTGTCCCCTTACGAAGCAGATGCTGAGGAGAGTTTTTGCTAGCCAACCTCAGGCATTTGGTGTGCAACTGCTATTACTGGTAATAGAGCTTTTCTTAAGCTTGTTTTTTCAAAGTGAAACCTGTGGTCATATCCATTTGTTACAGCCTGAAATGATTAATTTAATTTTCTGTCTCTGCTAATTTATTTAATTTTTAGGACACCTCTGCACCTTGCTTGCGCAAACGGCCACGTGGATGTCGTTATATATCTAGTAGAAAACAAGTGTAAGCTAAATCTTTTTGACAATGACAACAGATCGCCACTGATGAAGGTATGTGGAATATGTTATGCTCTTGTAACTGGGGCTTATCGACTGTGTGCTAAATGATGTATGTTGCAGGATTCTTTACATTGTCCTGTGTGGAAACATGCATATTGTGATTGGCGTGGAATAGTCATATGTTAGCTGATCTTTGTGGGTGCTTTTATTTTCCAGCATCAGGAAGCTGGGGGAATTGCTACAGAGTGAAATGTCAATGCTGGAAGTTTTTCCTTTCTTGTGTGTTGTTCCCAGGCAGTACAATGCCAGCAAGAAAAATGCGTGGCTGTTCTGCTAGAGCATGGTGCTGACCCAAATCTGGCAGATGCTGACGGCAACACTGCCCTCCACCTTGCGGTCCTATCTCCTAATACATCTGTAGCAGGGCTGTTACTTGAGCATAATGCCAATATTGATGCCCAGAATAAGGTAAACGTTTATATTTGTTAAGGAAGTTCTTTCAAGAAGTTGCATTACTGTTTCTCTTGAAGGGTTTTTTTTACTTTAATTTTTAACTTCATTTATTTATCTGTCCTTTCAGGAGGGACATACTCCTCTTATTCTTGCTGTCTCCGAACATCAGGGAGAGATAGTAGAGTTTCTCCTTAAAAACGGAGCTGATGTGAATGCTCGCGATCAGTGTGAAAGGTGAGGGGTCTGTCAAAAGTCTACAGGAGTCTCTTTAGTATCCTTTAGGTTGGATTGATGAGAGGCATGGGAATGAGCTCTGAAAAAAACCAACAACCCAGGGAGCCACACAGAAGGAGGTATTTCTGTATGACTTGTGAAAGCAAGTCTGCACTTGCCTGCTGTCATACCTCAGTGGGTGCTTTCCACACTGAGGATTGCAAGAAGGCATTGTCTGTGATGGCCCTTCTGGCAGGAAACGTGCCGTTACCTCGGCAGCATTGTCTCAATTCAAAAAACCATCTTCTGCGTAATAGCAGCATCGTTTGCACGTGAGCATTGTCTATGTGGAACCTCGGCAGGAAACGTGCCGTTACCTCGGCAGCATTGTCTCAATTCAAAAAACCATCTTCTGCGTAATAGCAGCATCGTTTGCACGTGAGCATTGTCTATGTGGAACCTCCTGCGTAATAGCAGCATCGTTTGCACGTGAGCGTTGTCTATGTGGAACCTTTGTCTGAAGAGCGAACATTTAATTGTTTAGTCTCTCTCTCCAGTTTTATTGTTGGTTTTAATACTTAATGAAAACTGCTTTTTCTTGTGATCGTTCTAAAGTAATGGGGAACATACTTTTTTGAGAGCAAATAGGAATAAAAATAATTACTGTGTCTGTGTAAAAGGATCTATTTCATATCATATTTTGGATGTTTCAGAACCCCACTTATGACTGCTGCTTCTGGTGGCGAGCTTAATTTGATAAAAGTTCTTCTTCGATATGGGGCTGATGTTTCCCATAAAGACACTAATGGATGGACAGCTGAGGATTATGCTGTTATTCATGGATATTCTAGGTAAATTTTTAGCTTTATTGTTAGAAAAAGTTGTCGGTTACCAGTGTGCCTTTTGAACGTTTTTGGTAACAGCACCCAGGTTTAATGGTGTGTTGAGACCTGAAGCTGTGCTCAGTGATGTCTTGTGATACGTGTCATTCCTGTGTCTAGTGTTAATTTGGAAGCTGAGGAAAATTTCCACCCGAAATTCTCTGTTAGATTTCAAGTTTTGTTGCTAAGCTCACGTCTGCCCAATATGAACGTTAAAAAATGCCTGTATCCTGCAGTTACCCAGAGGTGGAACTTGGCAAACTGAAACGCATGTAAACCCTTTCCCCAGACCAGCACCATTGTAGTGGAGGTCAATAAGGACAAAAACCGAGAACTACCAGCCTTTTGATTCGAAGGAGTTCTAACCGATGTTCCCTTTGTGACAATTTTAAAGCAGTTTTACTCTTCTTAGGCATAGCTTTGTGCCTGTGGGTATTCCTTCTCTAAGGTGGTTTTGTGTGCTTACAAGCTAGGCTGAAAAACATGTACCAAGCAGGAGTTAATAACCTTGTAGGTGTGAGTCTGCATCTATAGAATGAACCTGACTGTAGTGAATATTGAAGTATGTAATAGTTATGTGGTAAGTTCTGTGTGTATTACTCTTAGCGAATATAGGAGTATGTGAATCCATATGGCTCTGAGTATGTGTTGGGTGGATAAAAGTGGCTGTTAACTATTCTGTTAAATGGTATATGCCACTACGTGGTTATTTTTACCAAATATATTTCCTCTCTTTCTCTGTGTAGTCTTAGTAAAGAACTGGCAGAATACGCAGACTGGGAAGACACAGAAGCGTCTGCAGGTGGTGCACAAGGCGTCATGGCACTGAGCACTCCTCACCGGGCAGGAGCTGCTGGCTTTATGTTGGGTGCACCTGCTGTGGACAGAGGAGGTAGGATCCTTAACCATGGAGGAGCTCATGAGCAAAATCACTGTGGCCTTTTCTTTAGGTGGTTTATATTGTTAACGCTTCTTGTGTTCGCCATTGACTTTAGCGGAGGCGTCAGAGCAGCACAAGAAGTTTTGTGAACGTGCTTATTTGTTGCTAGTTGGAGGTGCTTCTTGTCAGGCTGTGAAAACAGTTGTGGTTTGTCACCTACATGTCCACTGACAGGGTTGTTGCCTTCTGCCTACAGATTGCCCATCTGTATAGGTTTTCCTAGAGAGAGAAAGAAGTGGGACAGGGAAGGAAGGAGGCAAAAGCGGTGGGGTGGTTTTATCAGGTGTGTGCTTTTACCTATGGATGACCATTCAGATTGTGGAAGTCCAATTGCAAAAGCAGTAGATTCATCCTGAGTAGATGTTCACCTTTTTGTAGTTGGGAAGCAACAGATGAGTTAGCAGGAAGATACATATCTTGTTGATTTACACTGAGTTTGTGTGTGTTTGTTTTTAATACTAACAGTTTTGCCTGCACTAAGCTCCTTTTAGTTAGTCACCTTATTTCTCAGCATCAGTTACAATTGTTTCCATGCAGGTGCTGTAGAGGCATACTTAGGAAAAATTGTCTTGGAAAAGCAACTTTGTTAGCAACAGCAATGCAGTGTCTGTGCATACTGTATCCTCTTTGACAGAACTCGATTTACAATAACAATAATGCTTTTCTTCCACTTTTAGTAGTTTTATGAAATAAACTTCAAAAAATCCGTGTTACCTTGTGATCCAGAAAAACAATTCAATTGCCTTGTGATCAAAAAATTAACTCCTTCAGTGAGCTTTTGAAATGTAGTCTGTGCTTAGGAGCTCACATAGCCCTAGAGGAATCTTAGTAGGTTAATATTTTAATACAAATGACATTGTTTGTCTTTACATCTGGAGCCCTACAGTGGAAGGTTTTATTCTTTCTGCTTTCTTAAGGGTGTTATATCAGAACTATGTGGGAAATGGGCAGCAGACAGTGTTCAAACACAGTTCATTACTCCTTTTTTAAATATGTCAAGAAATATGAGAAAACATAGGATATTTGTCCTCATTGACTTTTCTCAGATATGGGAATTTAATTCAGAGCCAACTCGGGAACAGTTGCTTTGATCTAGTCAGGGATTTGCAAAGTTTCTTGATAGATTGAAGGAAGTGTTTGGTTTGTGGGGTTTTTTTGGGGTTGTTTTTGGGTTGGTTTGTGGGGTTTTGGTTTTTTTTTTTGGCAAAGGGCTTGTTACAGGTAGTTTAATAAGTAAAATGTTGCTTTCACCCAAACAGCACTCTCTGTTACTGCTTCCTGCCTGTGTAGATAACTGCTGTGGTACCACATTGTAGTGGCTGACAGGCCTGGGTTATTTTAAAATATGTGGCTTGAAGAATAATATTGTGTGATTCCAAAACTGACAGACACCTAGGGAAAAATGGGTTCTTGAACCAAATAATTTGCCCCATTCCTTGAAAATCATAATACTACTAATATAAGTCCCCAGTATTATGGGAAATTTTTACTACTTCTCATTTGAAGAGACATAGTAAGTGTGAGGAGAATGTTATGTGGGTTAAAGGACTTGGGAGGAGAAAGAGCATGGTCTGTTCTCAGTCTGTTTCTAGTAGGACTTGTTTTTCTTCTGAGTAGTGTGAATCCTGTTCTCCATGTGCTCAGTCTCTTAAAAGATGACCCCAGCATGTTGGGCAAGAGAGATTAGTAGCATATAGGTAATGTTTGTTGGCGTTAATTCTGCAGTGTCTGGCTTGCACCCACAAAGCACAGGTCCTACATCACGAGAGTCCCTTTGGTATGCTGCAGTAACAGGCTTTGAAGCCTCTGTTAGAGGAGAAGCTGGGATGATCTTGAGAGACCAGAGAAACACTCGCTTTGGAATTCTTTTCTTTTCTTTTGCTCTTCTGTATTATTTTTCTGGGACCTTCAATGTTGTCCTTACTCCTTTTTCTGCTTTTGCACTTGTAGAATATTCTTCAAAATATTCTCCTCTAGTGAGCAAGTCAGCGTATGTAAGAAGTTGGCTCGTGCTTATTGGAATGTTTACTTTTTGTCAGAATGTGATCCTTTTTATTAATCACAGTCAGGTTTGCAGAAACCTCCCAGTGAATGGCTCCCAGCCCTGGCATATTGGATGACAGATTTTTTAGATTTGAAGTTGGGATTTCTTTGGCAAAAAATAGTAATTATGCAATTTTTCTAAAGGCAAGGATTCAGCTTTTTTTTAGCTGTGGCAGTGCATATCAGTGTAGTACTCCTTTAGTGTTTCCCTGAATCCCTACAGAAACTGTTGTTTTTTTCATTGTAGAGCTCTTAAAAAAGAAATTAGTGATTCAGTGTGATGTACGTCTTCTGAGGTTGGGAAAAGTTGTCCTGTATCACCTTTTAAGAAAACTGAGAAATAGAGAAGGAATGAGAAGCCATCTTGAGGTGCTTTCTTAACTCTTTCAAGTGCATGTTTTTTCATAGGAGTCCTTGTGCCACATCCGTTCCATGTATTTGTGGTAAAATCAATATAAGCAGGACTCCCTTCTGCTCCGAGACAAGTGTTGGCCTTGTCATGAAGAAATCTGGTGTCAGGTAGCCGCCATAACAGAACCACACCGTTCGTTGACTTAAAATAAAAAACTTTACTAAGTAGGATGGGAAGAGCAGGTAGATAGTGATGTATGTTCTAAAACTTCTGCTCCACAACTCACAGGCATACATACACACACAAACACGCATGCATGACACTGACACCAGTGAAGCACTGGGTTTGGTCCGACTGTAGCCTGCCTTTTAGCCCTGGGGGAACAGAGAGTTCGTTCTGACTGCTTGCCCTGTCTGTGTTCGGGCTGGTGGCATAGCTTCTGTATGTGAACTGTTCATCATGGTCAAATCAATTAAGCAGAACTCTTCTATCTTCAGACTGAGGTAGGGGAGGAGCCCTGTGTTTGCATCAGGCATCAACTGACACAGCTTTTAGGGTGAGCTGGTTTAAAGCAACAGGTTTCTGGGTTGCTTTTTTAGTGAGGGATAACAAACATGCTAAAACTGTAACTTGAGATGAGTGCGTGTAAATAACACGATGGCTGGAAGTTGCCTGGTGGTGTGAGTACCGAGAGCCAAGATTTCCTTCAAAATTCCTGGACAGTGTATCTCCAAAGTTTAGTTGTTGGCACATAAGGATTTTTGGGATGCTTAGAGGGAGGGGTTTTAAGTGTGCTGTATGTGTAAAGCACTCTACAAATATGAAGGAAGTGCATTTGCAGTCTGCTCTAGATGAGGACTAGTGAAGTTGAGGGAAATGTAAAGTTGGCGGTAAACTTTTGATAATCCATTTCAGTATTTCAAAATATTGGAATATTGGTATTTTACATGGAGCAACTAAATTAAGTGATACTGTTTGATGCTGTGCTGTGAGAGTAGAGCTCTGTAGATTGTGATTGGTTTTGTTTGAGGCGCTTATAACTGTAGAGTAGGCTGATAGTCACAGTACCTTCTCCTATTGCTATAGCTTTGTTGATGTACTGCTTATGTTTTCCAAATTTCTGGGAATTCAGATTTATTCTGATGCAATTGTTTCATCTGTCCTTTCCATGCCTTGTCCTAAATGGATGTAGGAATGCAACAGTCTCCTAACCAGACATCAAGAACAGGAAAATCAAGGAAAGGTATTCTATACAGCAGCACTTCAAATATGAAACGTGTTGTATGGTATACAAATATTATTAACGCATCTATGATGTTTATTATCCTGGAGGTCCTTTTTTGATGGTTTTGATTTTATAAAATAGATTTGAGAGCAGGCTTGGGGCACTTTTTCTTTGTTTGCATGTTTTGCATGGGTCCTTTATTATTGAATGGAGTGTTTGCTTTGTGTCGTTGGTGATAGTAATTTTTTTTTAAATATGCTCTTCTGTTACTCCAAAATGGAAATGGACTTCAATTAAAGTGTAAACAAGAAATCCCCAGAGACTGCTTTTCTAGATCCCATTTCTATGGTAGGGCATCAAGGTCTGTCTGAAAGCTAGCTGATGAACTTTATTTCTTGTCTCGCAAAGGACAATGTGACCAGGTTTTGGTCATTGCTCAAAGTTACTATACGTTGAAAGCGAAAGTTCAGATAACTTACTCGGGTGGTTTGGTTAACTATAACTGTACTAGCTGAAAATACACCTGAAGTCACCTGTCAAGAGTTTATAACAGACTGCTCCACACTGTCCACCCAGTTCTAAGGGACAGATTTTTATTCAGCTCAGGAGGTTAGCAGGTAGATTACGCTGCTGGTACGGAGTAAGTGAACAGAAAACCATGGTATGTAAAACTAATTAATATTTTTTTAAAATATGTGTTTATAATAGGAAACATTAAAAATCAGAAACTGTATTGGCATTTTATCTATTTTAGCTTCGCCTCGCACTGGAAGTTTGCTTTAGCCTCTCGGTTTTGTCTACATGACATGTCTACACTGAATGTGTACACTGTACTTCATTGTCTGAAAGCTCTGCTCAGGTCAGGAGATGTACTCGCCAAAGTGCCCACAAACTCTGTCTTTAGGACAGACAAAATTTCCATGCTCAGCTGCAGTTTACTAGTATAGAGGAGGTGTCTTGAGGCGTGATACAGTTTTTTTTCTTTTCCCTCTAATGTTTTTGTCCAAGACCTGGGTTTAGTTGTCATCATGCAACTTTAAGGAAGGTCACCAATCTCCTGTTTATAAGCAACTTCATTTTGTTACGATATTCAACAAGAATTAGTTATCAAGTTTTTTTTTAAGAGCTACTGTGTGCAGGTTGGTTTGTTTGTTTTTTCCCTTCTGTCTTGGGAATTGAAGAGCCCTTTTATTTCATTTTAGTTGCTGATAGTTGAGAGGTTTTATCACTCTTCAGGCTGGATTCCTAGAGTTCAGTTTTCCTTAGCGCATCGGTGATGTGCTAGAGTGCACTCCCGTCAAGTTTGCAAATGGCCCTAAATTGGGGGGATCAGTAGATACACTTGAGGGCAGCACTGCCATTCAGAGGGACCTTACCAGGCTGAGTAAATGAACTGTCAGGCCTGTCTTAGAAAATTCAGCAAGGGCAAATGCCAAGTCCTGCACGTGGAAAGGAACAACCACTAGCAAGTGGTTCCTAGCAAAATGTGCTGGGACTGCCTGGCTGGGGAGCTGCTTTGCTGAGAAGGCCCAGAGGGTTTTGGCAGAGAGAGAGCTGGGCGTGAGCCAGCAGGGTGCCCTGGCAAGTGAGAAGGTCCACTGTGTCCTGGGCTTTGTTAAGAGCAGCGTAGCCAAGAGGTTGAGGAAAGTGATTGTCCACCCCTACCTGGCACTCCCTGGATTTTGTCCAGCTCCCTGGGTATAATTTGAGCCCCCAGTGCAAGAGAGCTTGGTGTTTCAGCAGTGACCCAAGTTCAGTGGAGGGCCATCAATCTGGCCAGGGGCAAGAGTACTTGCCCTTTGAGGAGAGGCTGAGAAAACTGGGCTTGTTCAGCCTAGCGAAGAGGTGACTTTGAAGGGGGCCTAGCAGCAGCTTCTGGTACATATGAGAAGATGACAAAGCCAGGTGCTGCTTGGCAGTGGTGCATGACAGGAAACAGAGATACAAGAGGCATAAATGGAAACGAGAGTTCCTAACTGGATGTGAGAAGCTTCACCATGATAAGGATGGTAAAACAGAGAGGTTGTACAGCCTTCCACCTTGGAGGTGTTCAAAACCGGACTGGGTAAAGCCCTAAGCAACCTTATCTGACCTCATAGCTGAGCCCTCTTGGAGGAGGCGGTTGGCTAAGAAACTTCCTGAGGTCTCTTCTGACCTGATTTATCCTATGATCCGATGTGCAAGTTGCCTTCATAACACTGATGAAAGCTGGGAATGTAGTTGTCCTGGTTTTGGCTGGGCCAGTTAATGCCCTGGTTATGCACCTTTTGTCTGTTGAATACCCTTTTTGGTGCAGTGTAGAGAACTGCTGGCGATTCTTCTATCTGAGGATAAGCTTTAGATATTGATTATGCTTTTTGATTTTCTTTACCTTTTCAGAATAATCTGTAAATGGGTAGAGCAGATTGTATAATATTATGCTATATACTACACTTAATGTTACATAACATAGTAAAATCCCTGCATGTGATGTGTAGTCGTGTGTGTAATAGGAGTACTTTGGAGGTTCATTTACTGTCTTGCTAAACTGCCACCATTTTGATAACTGTTTGCTCTCGTAGCATATTCATGCTATGCTATTTTTTATTCATTTAGAGATGTTTTTTAAACATCTAGGTACAGGAGTGCAAAGGAGATATAACGCTGGTCTTTTGTTTGTTTTAATTCAGTGTGGCTTGAAAAAACGGTTGTTTTGGAAATGTGTTCATTCATGCTGTCTTCTGCTGAATTGACTAGCCAGAGTTTTGTTCTGTCATGACACGTTGAGTTGTCCATGTTCAATGTTTATATGTGCTGGTTGAATTTTAGCATGCTAAATCTAATTTCAACATGTCAATTAATGTTTGAACAGCAATAGATGACTCTTCCCAAGGAGACTCCATAAGGTAAGACTTCCAAAATACCTAAGACTTGCCTGAGGAGCGATTTGAGAGACACAGTACTCACTTTGCTTTGCTTTTTAAGAAGCTCTGAAAAAGCGGGGAGTGATGACAGTTGGCATACTTCTGAGGAAGAAGAACTTGATTTTACTCCCAAGGTATGGTGCGTTTATAGTAAAAATAAGTGATTTGAAGGTAAGTGTTTCTCTTCTGGGATTGGAAGAAGCTGCAGTTCTAGCCAATATTGTTTTCTCCTTAGAAGCCGTCTCTGGCCTGCCAACCTTTCTTCTGCTGTGAGTTTTTCCTAAAAGGCCTGTAGCTGTGGCAGAGCATGCAGTAGATGTGTGGTTTGGGGCAAAAGAGCAATAGGTGACAAGATAAACCATGTTGTTTTATTTGTTCTTGTTCATTTGAGTCGGATTTGCAGACCTCAAAAGTTTATCAGTTATCATTATAACCTATTCTGTTCTTCTCCAAATGTTGTCATTATTTCCTGTAAATTTGGTGACAGAATCCTAACTGAAAGAAAAAGGGCATTTATTTATCAAGATCTACTGAGATCTTTCATCACCTAGTTCTCCTTTCCTCCTTGTCAGGTTCCTCAAGAGTGCTCAATGGAAGTTACTCAAATGGATTGTCTTTTTTTCTTCTGTGAGATGGCACTCCATGCTTGCATGTAATCTCACACTGCACGTTTTCCTTCTCTTTTGAATGCTCGGGTAATATTCTTTTTGGTGGCTACAAGCGCTCGTGCCTGCTGTTTTTACTAATGTTCTGAAAAATGATCAACCTCTGCAGTGATGTCTGGAGCATCTATTCTGTTGCACTGGGATTCTGCAGTGATGAGGAACCTGAGGGTGGTAGTTCAAGCCACTCTGTAATGCTGGAGATGCAAGCATGTCTAGTTTTAACATGATTTCATTTTATGGCCCAGATTTAAATAGAAATGATGCATTTTTCTGGCATGATTTTGAAATTTAGGGTTATTCTGGTAGGTATACTTGCAGGGATGAATTTATGCATTAAGTCTAGGGATCTTAATGGTTACTTGCATTGTGCACATTTGCAAGTAAGCATCCTGAAACTGCAGTCTTAAATATAGCTGAATTTTAATTAAGTAATACAAATATTAAAAACTGATTTTTAAAACTGTTGTGCATGTAAAAGTAGTTTTGGAAACAGTTTGCAGAAGGGTGCCTGCACAGTGTTTTGGGGTGAAATGCTGACTGAATTGCATATGTGAGGAGTGTGTGTGTAGGTAGTAGTGTAGGATGGAGCCAGCACCTGAACACTATCAAAAGGACAGCCTGGGCATATTTACCATTCACGTTCTGATGTGAACACAAGATATGTGTTGTTACTGGTTTTTAAAACAAACAAATTTTGGCTTAAATAAATCTTTACTTACAGAAGCTGCAGAAGCCGAACTTGACACTGTTAATGAATGCTTCCCAGCAGTTCAGGAAAACCAGTAAGCTATTTGGAAAAGATTGCATGATATACTGATTTATATGTAAAAGTAGACTTGTTAAGTAGTTTCTTTTGTAATTTCTTTTAGCTAGAGTAAATGAGAAAAGTAGCATTTTGAAAACACAGCGCTTAGTCATTTCAGAAAAAAAGAAGTCCTGTCATTGAAATGAAGATCTTAATCCCCTCCTAAGCCTTTGTCACTGGTTAAGTCCTTCCTCCATCCTGCCTGTCCCTTATCTGGCTTCTTTTCCAGACATTCCCAGATGACTCCTCTCCTGCACGTTAATCTGGTAGCATGCCTGTTGCTGTTTACGTAACTCCTTTTGTTCACATGAGTTTTTCCTGTTCCTGTGTTTTAAGATGGTGGTGATCCTAGAATTGAAAGTCCTAAGTCACCAAAGAAAAGCCTCAAAGAAAGAACCACATCAGATGTAAACCTGAACAAAGGAGAATGTGGAGAATTGTTGAATCAAGATGTCTCAGATGCAAGCAACCTGGAGGAAGAGGAGGAGGAGGAAGATGAAGAAAATGACAATGGAAGTGATGCCGAAGGTTGTGAGGAGGAGGAGGAAGAGGAGGAAGAAGAGGAGGATGAAGATCTTACTCAAGATGAGGAAGAGGAGGAGGATCTGGAAGATGAAGAAACTCAGCCTAATGACATGCTGGAGGAGGAGCAGGGGGAGAAAACAGAACCTAAAGGGGGAATTAATCCGAAATGGGAGTATTTTAGTAATGCTGTGTATGAAGGGAAAGATGGGTGTGGAACTGGAGCTGTCTGTGATGATGGTAAAATAAGTAAAGAACTTGAGGAAAAGGTGGAGGAATCTGTTGATACTCCTGTTACTTTTATAGCTGGGCGTTATGAAAGGTTGCAAGAAAATGTAACTGCCATGTCTCCGAAGATAATGAATAATGAAGTATCTTGCAAGTCAGTACCAAAACAAGCTGTCTTTCAAAACCTAAATAATTTGCAAGATACACAAGAAAGCTGGAACAGGAAAAGTGTGATTCGGGAGATGTTTCACAGAAATGCTGACTCGTGTTTTGCGGACTCTGAAATGACAGAGTGGAAAAAAGAGATACCTCAGCCTCTCTCAGATAGTTGTGGTCTTAAAGAGAAAAAAACAAGCTTCGATGATAGCTTTGAAAGTAGTAATAATTCTTGGTCAGCAGCAAAAAACCCAAGACCTGAAAGTCAAAGACCGAACTCTGTCGTTTTTGAACGTGTGGGTGATCAATATCCTGAAGAAGAGCACCATGAAGAAGTCGATGATAAAGTCTGTGAAGCACTGAAACAAGGAAGTGGAAACTTGTGCTTAAATAGGCACGAAAGAAACTTAAGAGCAATGTTTCACTCGAGTGCTGAAGTAAGTACATAGGCATGATTCAATCACACGGGTATTTTCTAAGAGTAATATAGGTAAGAAAGGAATAGTAAACTGGATTTCTGTTAATACTTATTCTTCGCATATATCCATCTTTTCATCATCCTTTTTTGATACTGGAAAATGTCTTCCACCTAGCCAAAGCAATTTGATAGGTGTGAAAATAATATCGGTATTTTCCGTAATTTTTTTCTATTGGTTACAGTGGTTTTGCAGGAAAAAGAACAGGCAGTAGACTTTTTCTAGAGTCAATTAAATTTTTATAACTTGAATGTACAAATCTTGTCTGTGAAGATTTACTGCCATTTAGTAAAATTCATGGTGCGATGGCTGAAAGTGAGCAAACAAAAAGATTTGAATAAGATTGAGAGCAGGAAACTAGTGATTTTCCTTGGAGCAAAGTAGGGGAAAAGAAGGAATATGTTCCAGAATGATGTAATTTAAATGAAGCTGGAGTTAGACGGACATGAGGAGGTGCTTCTGAGGGGCTTTGCAGAACCAGGGATGAGACTTAGGACATCAGGCATTGCTGTCTACTTGTACAGATTTCCATGGAAAAACTGAAGGCCTTGTAAAACAAAGCTCAACAAGGTTTCCCTTTTGTCTTTCACAAGAAAAGTATTTTTCAAGTTGTCAATGGATGGAGAAGAACTGGTTTATGCTCTTTCCATCTGTTTTGGTCAATCTCTTACAGGAAGAATCACTTGAACGGGAAGAAGAGGAGAAGCAGGAGAAGGAAGACACTGGTGAAGAGCTACAAACTGCAGTTGTTGAAGGTGTGAAAAATTCTGTTTGCAATGACAGCCGCCAAGTCCACAGTGCTTCAAAAGACAACGCTGGTAAGAGAAATGGGTTAGCAAATACCGATCCCAGTTCTTCCTCTGAGTATTAATGCACAGTAAATGAACTAAAATGGTGACTGACTTCTGAGATAGCAAACTTTTCCCTTGCCTGTGAATCCTAGCTGGCCTCGGCGGAGAAGAAAAGCAGCTTTTGTTTCTTTTCATTCATTCTTGAAGAACCTGAAATTGTGGTGTT